CCCCAAAACCCCAAAACCCCAAAACCCCGTGATTTAACATGTATCTAATTTAAGAGGATGTTAGTTTGTTTTAGTAAAATAAAATAAGGGAATTAAGATTTATTAACAGAAGAGATATAATGAAATCAAGCAACTAGTCTAACTCAATGGCACTTCTCGATACCACTAATACAACTCGATCTCATAATTAAACAAGAATTCTCCATCAATGATAAATGTCTCATTCTGGGTAAAATACAGCTAAGGAATTACCATTTACAAACAAAGATTATATGAATAAGTATTTTAGGCAAACGCCCTAGACTTCATTTGAGAGATAGATTTTAAGACAAGAGATGAATTTAGTCCTGAATAATAATCTAGACAGCTATCAGAAGTTCCAGCAAATAAAAACTGAGAATCTGAATAAAATCAAGATCGTCAATGTCAATAATATCAAGCACAGCATTGAAAATGTGATGAGGAATTGGAACAAGCATGAGAGTATTAAATTAAAAAAGTCTGATGTTGTTAACTTGGATGTGAAAGAGTTCCTTAGAGATAAATCAAAGACCAAGCAAAGATAAGACGATTAAGTCGAGCAATAGAATCTTGAGTAGCAATCTCATTAATAAGCTACTGTAACTTCTAAATTTATGGCTAAAAGACAATCTCTAGAATCTTAAGAACTCAATAAAGAAGAAAGAGATGAGGATGTACTTGAGGTGGAAAAACTAGATAACTGGAAGAAACTAGATACAACAGCTAAGGAATCTAAGAGATCTATTCAGAATCTTAATAAAAAATTCTTGATAACTCTAATGCAAAAAACAGACAAAGTACTCAATATATAGCCTGAGCAGCTTGTTAAGTCTAATCTAGCTAATTCAAATGAGATATTAAGAGCACCCTCTAGGTAGCTGCAATCTATTATAAAGTAAAAGCAATAAAAAGACAATGGCTTCAACTATCAATCTATCTATGACGTGACAGATGGCACTGATAGATTAAAAGATATCTTGCAGTTAAAGAAGGCTAGAGGAAATATGGAGATCATTTTGCATTAAGCCTCAAAGATATAGCAGAAACTTACTTTGCATAATTAGCAGTAGCAGAATTAAATTGCTGATGATCAATCTAGCATAGTTGACGAGTAAAGTCCTTTCGGTAGATAGGATAGACAAGACTCAAATTAAATGGTCAGTTCCCCACCTCCATAAAACTTTAGCTAAGCTAGCCAATAGAATCGATTTGAATCACTTAGACCTTAATAAACACTTAAAATTCCTGAGAGGTAGAGTAGTATTGACCCTGGAAGCGCTTCTAAAATTTCAGCTAGATTGGCAATGAATAGACAGGGGACTAACGGGGGGCTTGTATAGAGAGTTCAATCATAACCCATTCTTAGGAATGTAAATAAATAAAATAAAGCAAAGTCATATAAAAGTTTAAGATAAGGTATTGACGAAGAGGAAGAATCTCTTGATGAATACTAAGTAATAAAAAATCTCAAAAATTAAAGATAAACTTTTTCTCTTTTCATTAATGGAGAGCAAATGGCTAAGTAAATGAAAAGGCTGAATGAAGAGATTAAGAGAGCAGAAAATGCCCACTTTCAGACTATACCCTTACCAAAAGATCTGTATTTAGGCTTTAAAGAAATTGCACTGAACTATGAAATATCACTTGAACTAAAATCTAAATAGTTATAAGAGTTTAAAGCTGAAAAGCTAAAAGATTTTGAAGACATTTAAAACATCAAGAAAAGATTGCAATATTAGATTGACTCATATAAGAATGTAAGATATCATCATATATAATCATTAGGAAACCATAAAGCACTAAAACTAAGTTGATAAGCTTAGATAATTGTTGAAAAATGTACCTCAAACCCCAGTCAAGGATAGTTCATCAATTCAACCTACTCCTGGTAGCGCTGTTCGAAAAAAAACTGCAATAGACTTTTTAGGGTAAAAAATAAATTAAGACCTGTAAAAATATGCCAAGTAAAAAAGAGTTATATAAGATTAGGAAGAGAAGATCAATGCATATGACTAGCTAATTAAAAATCTAAATATGGAGATGAAAATATAGGTAGCAAAGGAAAAGATACTTCTCAACGAGATCTCTTATTTAGATAACGAGATAAATATAATAATTTAAACTCAGATGAAGCACTATCATGAATTGCTTCATACTGGGTTAGATTACAGATAAGAGGGGCTAAGTTGGATTATTAAAAGCATTTGGTTGCTAGGTGAAAGCGTGAACCTGTAAAAAATGCCCAAGTGGCTTGATAACAAGGGTATTGAGTTTCTACTTGATGTAAATCTATTTGAAAATATCTTAACATATTTTAGTATTCAAGGCTGTAGTTAGACATGACTAAAAAGCTCAGTATGGTTAGATAAGAGCAATAAGGCAATAAAAACAATCGATAATCAGGAAGTATTCTTGAACAAGATTATTAGTTATAGCCTAACTTGATAGTATCTTAATTTGATCTCAATACAAAAACTCCAGCTACTGAGGAAAAGACTTCCATTCATTCGTTAAACAGACGATAGCTTCTCTAAGATTTCTAAGATAAATAAAATGGGTTTATTGAGAGAATTAAAAAGAAGCTCAAAGTCCTCAGCAATAATCTATAGAGATAGTAAATCACAGAAGGTCTGGAACTAGGTCATAACTATTTCTTTATGAGTTTACTTGACAATGACTTCAATAAATAGTTTATTAAAGATGATTCTTTTATAAGATACTCAGAGCCTGATTCAATCAATGACTCTCCAATGATCAAAATGAAGAGGTAAAATTATGAGAACAAATATAAATCCATCTTAACACTTGAATAAGAGATTAATTTCTTAAAGGAATAAATTAAGAATCTAAGAGAGAAAGAGATTTCTAGAATATTTAAGGAGTTCCTACAGTGCAACTATGAGAAAACTAATAAGGTCACTATTGAAGTAGTTTTATGTGCTCTAGTTGGATACCAAAGAGCATAGAAAGTTCTACAAAAGTTACGAGCCAAATCGGACTAACTTAAGAAAAATTTTGAGATGACTAAGACATTTTAGTTTGGAAGCATGAGATCTGGTCTTGGCAATTTATTACTCCTAGATCCCTCTTTGAAAATCTTATGAGTTCTAACGAATATTTATATTTCTTAATTTCATAACTAGAACAAAATGATGTTATATGGGGTTTTGGGGTTTTGGGGTTTTGGGG